TATCATAGTGCTGTTGTGTCAGACAAGTATCATGGTGCTGTTGTGTCAGACAAGTATCATAGTGCTGTTGTGTCAGACAAGTATCATGGTGCTGTTGTGTCAGACAAGTATCATAGTTCTGTTGTGTCAGACAAGTATCATAGTGCTGTTGTGTCAGACAAGTATCATAGTGCTGTTGTGTCAGACAAGTATCATGGTGCTGTTGTGTCAGACAAGTATCATGGTGCTGCTGTGTCAGACAAGTATCATGGTGCTGCTGTTTCAGACAAGTATCATGGTGCTGCTGTGTAAGACAAGTATCATGGTGCTGCTGTGTCAGACAAGTATCATGGTGCTGTTGTGTCAGACAAGTATCATAGTGCTGTTGTGTCAGACAAGTATCATGGTGCTGCTGTGTCAGACAAGTATCATGGTGCTGCTGTGTCAGACAAGTATCATGGTGCTGCTGTGTCAGACAAGTATCATGGTGCTGCTGTGTAAGACAAGTATCATGGTGCTGTTGTGTCAGACAAGTATCATGGTGCTGCTGTGTCAGACAAGTATCATGGTGCTGTTGTGTCAGACAAGTATCATAGTGCTGTTGTGTCAGACAAGTATCATAGTGCTGTTGTGTCAGACAAGTATCATAGTGCTGTTGTGTCAGACAAGTATCATGGTGCTGTTGTGTTAGACAAGTATCATAGTGCTGTTGTGTCAGACAAGTATCATAGTGCTGTTGTGTCAGACAAGTATCATAGTGCTGTTGTGTCAGACAAGTATCATGGTGCTGTTGTGTCAGACAAGTATCATGGTGCTGTTGTGTCAGACAAGTATCATGGTGCTGCTGTGTAAGAGAAGTATCATGGTGCTGTTGTGTCAGACAAGTATCATGGTGCTGCTGTGTCAGACAAGTATCATGGTGCTGTTGTGTCAGACAAGTATCATGGTGCTGCTGTGTCAGATAAGTATCATGGTGCTGTTGTGTCAGACAAGTATCATAGTGCTGTTGTGTCAGACAAGTATCATGGTGCTGTTGTGTCAGACAAGTATCATGGTGCTGTTGTGTCAGACAAGTGTCATGGTGCTGCTGTGTCAGACAAGTGTCATGGTGCTGTTGTGTCAGACAAGTATCATGGTGCTGCTGTGTCAGACAAGTATCATGGTGCTGCTGTGTCAGACAAGTATCATGGTGCTGCTGCGTCAGACAAGTATCATGGTGCTGCTGTGTCAGACAAATATCATGGTGCTGCTGCGTCAGACAAGTATCATGGTGCTGCTGTGTCAGACAAATATCATGGTGCCGCTGCGTCAGACAAGTATCATGGTGCTGGTGTGTCAGACAAGTATCATGGTGCTGGTGTGTCAGACAAGTATCATGGTGCTGTTGTGTCAGACAAGTATCATGGTGCTGCTGTGTAAGAGAAGTATCATGGTGCTGCTGTGTCAGACAAGTATCATGGTGCTGTTGTGTCAGACAAGTATCATAGTGCTGTTGTGTCAGACAAGTATCATGGTGTTGTTGTGTCAGACAAGTATCATGGTGCTGCTGTGTAAGAGAAGTATCATGGTGCTGCTGCGTCAGACAAGTATCATGGTGCTGCTGTGTCAGACAAGTATCATAGTGCTGCTGTGTCAGACAAGTATCATGGTGCTGCTGTGTCAGACAAGTATCATGGTGCTGCTGTGTCAGACAAGTATCATAGTGCTGTTGTGTCAGACAAGTATCATGGTGTTGCTGTGTCAAACAAGTATCATAGTGCTGTTGTGTCAGACAAGTATCATGGTGCTGTTGTGTCAGACAAGTATCATGGTGCTGTTGTGTCAGACAAGTATCATGGTGCTGTTGTGTCAGACAAGTATCATGGTGCTGCTGTGTCAGACAAGTATCACGGTGCTGTTGTGTCAGACAAGTATCATGGTGCTGTTGTGTCAGACAAGTATCATGGTGCTGCTCTGTCAGACAAGTATCATGGTGCTGCTCTGTCAGACAAGTATCATGGTGCTGTTGTGTCAGACAAGTATCATGGTGCTGCTCTGTCAGACAAGTATCATGGTGCTGTTGTGTCAGACAAGTATCATGGTGCTGCTTTTTCACATAAGTATCATGGTGCTGTTGTGTCAGACAAGTATCATGTTGCTGCTCTGTCAGATAAGTATCATGGTGCTGCTCTCTCAGACAAGTATCATGGTGCTGCTCTGTCAGACAAGTATCATGGTGCTGTTGTGTCAGACAAGTATCATGGTGCTGTTGTGTCAGACAAGTATCATGGTGCTGTTGTGTCAGACAAGTATCATGGTGCTGTTGTGTCAGACAAGTATCATGGTGCTGTTGTGTCAGACAAGTATCATGGTGCTGTTGTGTCAGACAAGTATCATGGTGCTGCTGTGTCAGACAAGTATCATGGTGCTGCTGTGTCAGACAAGTATCTTGGTGCTGCTGTGTCAGACAAGTATCATAGTGCTGTTGTGTCAGACAAGTATCATGGTGCTGTTGTGTCAGACAAGTATCATGGTGTTGTTGTGTCAGACAAGTATCATGGTGCTGCTGCGTCAGACAAGTATCATGGTGCTGTTGTGTCAGACAAGTATCATGGTGTTGTTGTGTCAGACAAGTATCATGGTGCTGCTGTGTCAGACAAGTATCATAGTGCTGTTGTGTCAGACAAGTATCATGGTGCTGCTGCGTCAGACAAGTATCATAGTGCTGTTGTGTCAGACAAGTATCATGGTGCTGTTGTGTCAGACAAGTATCATGGTGCTGTTGTGTCAGACAAGTATCATGGTGCTGCTGCGTCAGACAAGTATCATGGTGCTGTTGTGTCAGACAAGTGTCATGGTGCTGTGTTGTCAGACAAGTATCATGGTGCTGCTGCGTCAGACAAGTATCATGGTGCTGTTGTGTCAGACAAGTATCATGGTGCTGCTGTGTCAGACAAGTATCATAGTGCTGTTGTGTCAGACATGGATCATAGTGCTGTTGTGTCAGACAAGTATCATGGTGCTGTTGTGTCAGACAAGTATCATGGTGCTGCTGCGTCAGACAAGTATCATAGTGCTGTTGTGTCAGACAAGTATCATGGTGCTGCTGCGTCAGACAAGTATCATAGTTCTGTTGTGTCAGACAAGTATCATGGTGCTGCTGGTCAGACATATCATAGTGCTGTTGTGTCAGACAAGTACATAGTGCTGTTGTGTACAGACAAGTATCATGGTGTTGCTGCGTCAGACAAGTATCATAGTGCTGTTGTGTCAGACAAGTATCATGGTGCTGTTGTGTCAGACAAGTATCATAGTGCTGTTGTGTCAGACAAGTATCATAGTGCTGTTGTGTCAGACAAGTATCATGGTGCTGTTGTGTCAGACAAGTATCATAGTGCTGTTGTGTCAGACAAGTATCATAGTGCTGTTGTGTCAGACAAGTATCATGGTGCTGTTGTGTCAGACAAGTATCATAGTGCTGTTGTGTCAGACAAGTATCATAGTGCTGTTGTTCAGACAAGTATCATAGTGCTGTTGTGTCAGACAAGTATCATGGTGTTGCTGCGTCAGACAAGTATCATAGTGCTGTTGTGTCAGACAAGTATCATGGTGCTGCTGCGTCAGACAAGTATCATAGTGCTGTTGTGTCAGACAAGTATCATAGTGCTGTTGTGTCAGACAAGTATCATAGTGCTGTTGTGTCAGACAAGTATCATGGTGTTGCTGCGTCAGACAAGTATCATAGTGCTGTTGTGTCAGACAAGTATCATGGTGCTGCTGCGTCAGACAAGTATCATAGTGCTGTTGTGTCAGACAAGTACATAGTGCTGTTGTGTCAACAAGTATCATAGTGCTGTTTGTGTCAGACAAGTATCATGGTGTTGCTGCGTCAGACAAGTATCATAGTGCTGTTGTGTCAGACAAGTATCATGGTGCTGCTGCGTCAGACAAGTATCATAGTGCTGTTGTGTCAGACAAGTATCATAGTGCTGTTGTGTCAGACAAGTATCATGGTGCTGTTGTGTCAGACAAGTATCATGGTGCTGTTGTGTCAGACAAGTATCATAGTGCTGTTGTGTCAGACAAGTATCATGGTGCTGCTGCGTCAGACAAGTATCATAGTGCTGTTGTGTCAGACAAGTATCATGGTGCTGCTGCGTCAGACAAGCATCATAGTGCTGTTGTGTCAGACAAGTATCATAGTGCTGTTGTGTCAGACAAGTATCATAGTGCTGTTGTGTCAGACAAGTATCATAGTGCTGTTGTGTCAGACAAGTATCATGGTGCTGCTGCGTCAGACAAGTATCATAGTGCTGTTGTGTCAGACAAGTATCATGGTGCTGCTGCGTCAGACAAGCATCATAGTGCTGTTGTGTCAGACAAGTATCATAGTGCTGTTGTGTCAGACATGTATCTTGCTTTCATTATACGATCAATGAAGTATTTTTATCACACAGCAACTCAGGGAAATTTTGGAATAAAGAATATCTTTATCCAAATACCTGTGAAGTTGTATCGTCAACTGCTGTACGTCTCGTCTGGTTCCAGTACATAATAAGTCCTCATTCTCATGCTTCTGCTAGACTAAAGGACTAAATATCTTCAATTAAGGATTATGAATAGAAATACAAAATTACCTCTCCACTTCTACTGTCTCCATTGTAAAAGTCACTTCTATTTTCGACTGAAGGCGAAACGTTTCAGCAATGATTACACATAAATGCTTCACATGCATCTTATTCATCAACATGGAATATCATTAACTTAATTAGAGACGTTGTCTTCATGAAGTGTCAATTCTGCCTTTGTTTCTTGGCATTGCAATTTATCGGTACTTTATACCTTTTATGCTCAGTCGAATAACGCTCATGAATCTATTCACTGTTAAGTAGCAGTGTCAGCAGGTGTTAGAAGACTTTCCTTTGCCCTCATCATACATTGTTCGACCCCTTATCACTGTGAACTGAGAGCGCTAACACTGCGCTATGAGGAACCTACACAATATAATGGATAAATTGATTAATAAATACGATGTCACTTACTCCGCAGTTTTCAAGAAGAAACTCAGAGAGATAACAAAACATATCTCCAGTAGGAGGAGGATAAGGAAGACGAAAAATAAGTATGACTTCCATTTATGTCGGAGCCATGCTTTTGTTAAAGAGTGTTGGAGCAGCTGAAGGAGGTTGTGTTGCACCATTTAGATTCACAGGATGACACTTCTTCCATTCAAGTCGATCTTGGATAAACTGTGCCGCATCTTCACGCAACTTCCCACTTTCTGTGTCATAGGGACTCTGGGCTATCTTGTCGTTCTCTGAAAATATATATTTTGAAAGTAATTTAAATTAGCACTTTAACTTATAGCAGATACAAGCGATATGAGTTACATACACTTAATATGCATTGTGGAAATTCTTACTATGAATAACTTCAGGAAATTATAACTATATCGGAGTATAAGACAAATTCCAACCACACAATAGAGCGGAAAACTAATGTGAAGGACCTAGGAGTGATAATGTCAGAGGATCTCAATTTCAAAGGTCATGGTAATGTGTCTACCACATCTGCTAGAAAAATGATAGGATGGATAACGAGAACCTTCAAAACTAAAGACGCCAAGCCCATGATGATTATCTTCAAATCGCTTGTACTCTCCAGGCTGGAATATTGCTATACACTAACGGTGAATTTTAAGGCAGGTGAAATTGCTGACCTGCAGAATGTAAAGAGAACCTTCACGGCACACAGACCTATGTTAAAACATCTAAATTATTGGGAACAGTTGAAGTTTCTTAACTTTTACTCTCTGAAACGCAGGCGGGAAAGATACATGATAATATACACGGACACACCTGAAAAATCCTAGAGGGAGTCATACCAAATTTGCACACGAAAATTACTCCCTACGAAAGCAAAAGACTCGGCAGGCGGTGCAACATATCCCCCCACTGAAAAGCAGGGGCGCCACGAGTACGCTAAGAGACAACACAGTAAGTGTCAGGAGCCCAAGACTGTTCAACTGCCTCCCAGCAAACATAAGGGGGATTACCAATAGACCCCTGGCTGTCTTCAAGAAAGCGCTGGACAGGCACCTAAAGTCAGTACCTGATCAGCTGGGCTGTGGTTAGTGCGTGCGGCCAGCAGTAACAGCCTGGTTGATCAGGCACTGATTCACAATGAGGCCTGGACACAGACCGGGCCGCGGGGGCTTTGACCCCCGAAACTCTCTCCAGGCATACTCCAGGTATACCTTCATCCTGCACATCTGTCCTATGTATACACAAATGTATACACCTGTCAAACGACTGTGAGACTGATAACCTTCTTTAATAGCCAGAAATATCAATTAAATTATATATTATACTAGAGATAGTGGAAAAAGTAGAGGAAATTTTTAAAACGTTCATTATTAACATCACGTTGAACTTATGTTAATTTGAATAATTGACGAATAATTACACCTTAGTGATGGTACATGGACTGAATGAGTTTCCTTAAAACAATAACATGAGAGTATTTTACCTATTCCACACGACATATATATGTCGTGTGGAATGACCCTCCTGAAATCGACAAACTTTAAACCCAATGAACCAACCAATTAAACATTGATCACAACGAAACATTAAAACATCATCTTACAGGTAATCATCTTAATGCAATAAATAATTCGCAATGTAATATATAAAAAAAAATGAAATAGATGATCATTGTCAGTATAAATATTGTCACTTACTGGGTTATAAATTCGTTAAATAATAATTTCATTTATCCAACCAGTGCTAACGGAGGATATAATCTCAAAATTTCAGATATTAACCATACAATGGGTTGCCACTCCCTATAGGTTTGTTGTGACATGACTTTAAATGCATAGATGTTTGGACGTTGAAATATAATATTCTCTTCTACGGCTGTGTCAGACTGTTTTTGTTATATATATATATATATATATATATATATATATATATATATATATATATATATATATATATATATATATTATATATATATATATATATATATATATATATATATATATTGTTCAGACTATGTCTAGTATAGACATATCGTATATCTTGCAGATCTTGTTATTCCTCTTAAAATATGAACTTCAAACGATTCATTATGATGGACAGTGGGTCAGTTAGTTTATATTTGTGCTCTCTTATTTCCTCAGATTCGTTCACTAGTTCTTTCGAAGATTTATTTTTTAAACTTCAGCTTGAGAAAAAAGTATATTTGACATTCTTTTTTATTTAAGACTAGCTTTACCAAGGCGTTACTTCTAACTTTCTTCCAAGGACTAAGTGAAACGGAATCTACGAGAATTTAATCTTTACAACATTATCAATAATTTGAGCATGCTTGTGTCTGGCCTCATTCACATGCATGTTATATTCACATGCATGTTATATTCACATGCATGTTATATTCACATGCATGTTATATTCACATGCATGTTATATTCACATGCATGTTATATTCACATGCATGCATGTTATATTCACATGCATGTTATATTCACATGCATGTTATATTCACATGCATGTTATATTCACATGTATGTTATATTCACATGCATGTTATATTCACATGCATGTTATATTCACATGCATGTTATATTCACATGCATGTTATATTCACATGCATGTTATATTCACATGCATGTTACATTCACATGCATGTTATATTCACATGCATGTTATATTCACATGCATGTTATATTCACATGCATGTTACATTCACATGCATGTTACATTCAGACCTGCGGCTGTTAAGAAGAAGTAACAAGGGTAAGAAGTTATAGATAATATAACTGGCTTAGTTCCTTATATATAGACTTAGTTACAGCTGCACTTTTGTGTGTTTTGACTTTATAGTTATTTAATGAAAATAATAGTTATTGAATGGAAATAAGTCACTCTGTCTGACTTTTTTGGGTTATCCTAGATACTTTACACATATGCTGCTATGTATGATAATTCTGTTTAACTGTATTTGTGTATACCTGAATAAACTTACTTACTTACTTACGTACTCATTAAAAAGATGGCGGACATCCCTGGTCAAGTTGCGTATCTGAAATCTGTTATCCATCACATGTCTATTTTGTTAACAACTCTCTAGGCCCGCCCGAAATGTCTTTCATAAACCATACCCCCGGCTGGGATTGAACCCGCGGTCATAGAGTCTCAAAACTCCAGCCCGTCGCGCTAACCACTAGACCAGCTAGCCACAATAAGATTCATCCAACTAGGTATATTTCTACACCATAGGAAGGTTAGCACAGGCACCTCTGTGACCACAAATGCAAGTTTTTACAGACGAATCTCCAGCTAGCGTGGCCGTGACGAACTCTAGCTCAAGTCCCTTCACTGCCGTCAACATGACTTAAGAAATCGTAATGACACGATTGCAAATAAACCATACCCCCGGCTGGGATTGAACCCGCGGTCATAGAGTCTCAAAACTCCAGCCCGTCGCGCTAACCACTAGACCAGCTAGCCACAATAAGATTCATCCAACTAGGTATATTTCTACACCATAGGAAGGTTAGCACAGGCACCTCTGTGACCACAAATGCAAGTTTTTACAGACGAATCTCCAGCTAGCGTGGCCGTGACGAACTCTAGCTCAAGTCCCTTCACTGCCGTCAACATGACTTAAGAAATCGTAATGACACGATTGCAAATAAACCATACCCCCCGCTGGGATTGAACCCGCGGTCATAGAGTCTCAAAACTTGCATTTGTGGTCACAGAGGTGCCTGTGCTAACCTTCCTATGGTGTAGAAATATACCTAGTTGGATGAATCTTATTGTGGCTAGCTGGTCTAGTGGTTAGCGCGACGGGCTGGAGTTTTGAGACTCTATGACCGCGGGTTCAATCCCAGCCGGGGGTATGGTTTATTTGCAATCGTGTCATTACGATTTCTTAAGTCATGTTGACGGCAGTGAAGGGACTTGAGCTAGAGTTCGTCACGGCCACGCTAGCTGGAGATTCGTCTGTAAAAACTTGCATTTGTGGTCACAGAGGTGCCTGTGCTAACCTTCCTATGGTGTAGAAATATACCTAGTTGGATGAATCTTATTGTGGCTAGCTGGTCTAGTGGTTAGCGCGACGGGCTGGAGTTTTGAGACTCTATGACCGCGGGTTCAATCCCAGCCGGGGGTATGGTTTATTTGCAATCGTGTCATTACGATTTCTTAAGTCATGTCTTTCATACTTTTAAAAGTTATTTTAGTAAACATTTATTCCATTAAGGAAAATATTTTACTCATTTATTCATGAATTGCGTGGAAACATCTGTTACCTGGTGGAATGTAGAAGTTGTCTTCAAACAATCTGAAGTCGTAAGTCACCTCAGAGTCTGAGTATGTGATGCACTTATCTTGTAGCTTCAGTGCGAGGTCAGGATGGTGCTTTATAATATTTCTAAAATTCTCACACTTGTGCCCATTTGGTCCGATAAATACAGCTTGCCACCACGAGCTATCAACGAGGCTTTCAACAACAACTCTGTAAATAGTTAACATATTACATAATATATTTTTTTATACATAGTATCTGTGCTAATAAATATAAAACCTGCAATATAATTAATGAATTGCGTGACTGTCAAAGATGAACATTAATCAATTTAACCAGAGAAATTAGAATGTGACTTGGGTTTTTCACGGTAGTAAATGTAATAACATCATCAGATTAAGGGATCCAAGACGTGACAATCAAACTCCTTTATACTGAGGCTCACTTGCGGAGACATAATAAATTCATCTCACAGAAGACACAAATGTAATTCCATTTTTTAGTAAGTAAGGGACTAATGTTACATCAAAACTTAAATATATTATGAAAAGAATACAATAAATATATTTTTATTATAGTGTAATTTGAAACTAAACAAGAACTGTGAATTATGAAGTTGTAGTGTATTAGGTTTTCCAGTCCCTTACAAGATGGAACGAGACAAGAGCTAGACTTTACTTCAGTCCGTAAAAAAATGTCAGCCGGGTTACATCAGCGGCCACAACTCTGCATCACAGCTCATGGCAAGTTTGATGGCTGGAACAACTCGATCGAGCGGGAATAGAATTCGAGGCAAGATATTTGCTAGACTTATGTTGTAGTACTACACTGTGATTAATATTACTGCACTTATGAAAAGTACTAAACCCGTTGGGTTCATTCAACTCTTGCGGAACGGGAAAAAGACTGGTTGGATAGACATATTCAGTTCCTTGGATCAAGAGCTCATCACTAGCATCAAGGGACCTTATTAGAGGGGAATGTACTGTAATGGGTACAATAGATGTGAGAAACTTTTTCCAGGTTATGTTCTTGAGAGTTCCAATCAGTGGTGACATCCACACAAATTTTATACAAAATCTCTACCAAAATAACACGGTCTATATGACAGGTTTTCCTCTTTTCTCTCTAAACTAATGATAAAACATCAGGAATGTCGTAACGAAAAAAATGAAAATCTGTCAGGGAAAAAAAAGAGGAATAAACTTACAGTCAAGTGAATGTTAGTGCATAAATGTATTATTGGTATGTAATGCTGCATAAACTAAACCGGCGATGTTATTAACTATAAAAAGCAAGGGTTATTTCTAACAGATAAGCTATTAAAAAAATTATGCAATAAATCCGTGAAACTCAGTCAGAACATAACAAATAAAATATATCTCATATATTTTGAGAAATATTAAATAAAATTAAAGTGTAGACATTTTCGTCACTCACAAAGATCCTTGATAAGTATGGGCGCCATGACGAAGCTAGACGGCCACTCCCTCACTCAGGTACACCAGCCTAGTCTTCTGTTCTTTCACAAAATCCTGTCACATGCCGTGAGAGAGAATGTTTGTGAACAATGTCGCCGGTTTCCGATTTTTTTTTCGGCGGTACTCTCCCGGCCCGGGTCTCTTCCAAGTAGTGGTGACCCGGCCTTGGCTCCCTATCTGGGGAGTATCTCGAGACTAAGTCTCCCATGGGAGGAGGTACAAGTACCCTTCATCTTTGGGACCAACTGTCCCCAGGACTAGCCACAGTCCCCGCCCTCACGGGGCTCGTAGGGAGAAGCTACGCCATCCCCACCGCCCCAAAGGGGCTCGTGAGCTGCAGGTGATAGCAAGCCCAGACCTTTTTTTCCGAATTGTTAAGTCTATTATATATATATATATATATATATATATATATATATATATATATATATATATATATATATATATATATATATAATATATATATAATATATATGTATGTGTGTGGGTGGGTGTACTCACCTAATTGTACTCACCTAATTGTGGTTGGAGGAGTCGAGACTCAGCTCCTGGCCCCGCCTCTTCGCTGACCGCTGCTAGGTCCTCCCTCTCCCTGCTCCATGAGCTTTATCATACCTCGTCTTAAAACTATGTATAGTTCATGCCTCCACTACATCGCTTGCCAGACTATTCCACTTTCTAACTACTCTATGACTGAAGAAATACTTCCTAACATCCCTTTGACTCATCTGAGTCTTCAGTTTCCAACTGTGGCCCCTTGTTTCTGTGTCCCATCTCTGGAACATCCTGTCTCTGTCCACCTTGTCTATTTCACGCAGTATTTTTTATGTCGTTATCATGTCTCCCCTGACCCTCCTGTCCTCTAGTGTCGTCAGACCGATTTCCCTTAACCTTTCTTAATAAGACATTCCCCTTAGCTCTGGAACCAGCTTTGTTGCAAACCTTTGCACTTTCTCTAATTTCTTGACGTGTTTGACCAGGTGTGGGTTCCAAACAGGTAATGCGTACTCCAGTATGGGCCTGACGTACACAGTGTATAAAGTCTTGAACGATTCCTTACAGAGGTACCGGAACGCTGTTCTCAGGTTTGCCAGCCGCCGAAATGCCACAGCAGTTATCTGGTTAATGTGTGCTTCTGGCGATGTACTCGGTATTATACTCACTCCTAGGTTTTTCTCCTTGAGTGAGGTTTGCAGCCTTTGGCCTCCTAGCCTATTCTCTGTCTGCGGTCTTCTTTGCTTTCCTCCAATCTTCATGGCTTTGTATTTGGCGGGGTTAAATTCTAGGAGCCAGTTTCTGGACCACGCATCCAGCCTGTCCAGGTCTCTTTGTAGACTTGTCTGGTCCGCGTCTGATTTAATTCTCCTCATTAACTTCACATCATCTGCAAACAGCGACACTTCTGAGTCTATCCCTTCCATCATGTCGTTCACATATACCAAGAATAGCACTGGTCCCAGGACTGACCCCTGTGGGACTATGCTTGTCACCCGCGCCCACTGTGATACCTCATCACGGATCATGACTCGCTGTTGCCTCCCTGTTAGGTATTCTCTGATCCATTGCAATGCCCTTCCTGTTATACGTGCCTGTTCCTCTAGCTTCTGTACTAATCCCTTGTGAGGAACTGTGTCGAAGACCTTCTAGCAGTCCATGAAAATGCAATCAACCCACCCCTCCCTCTCATTTCTTACTTCAGTTACCTTGTCATAAAATTCTAGTAGGTTTGTGACACAGGATTTACCTTCCATCAATCCGTGCTGGTTGTCTCCTCCTGATAATCTTTTCCAAGACTTTGCATACTATACACGTCAGTGACACTGGTCTATAATTTAGTGCTTCATTTCTGTCTCCCTTCTTAAAGATGGGGACTACATTTGCCTTCTTCCATACTTCAGGTAGTTGCCCAGTTTCAAAGGAAGTGTTGAAGATTTTGCATAGTGGCACACATAGTGTCTCTACTCCCTCTCTAAGGACCCATGGAAAGATGTTGTCCAGTCCCACCGGCTTTGAGATATCAAGGTCACTTAGGAGCTTCTCCACCTCCTCCTCAGTTGTGTGTAATTCATCCAACACTTGTTGCTATATCCCTTGTTGATGTACCCCACTGTTTTGTCTTCCCAGTGTCCCTTCAGCCTCCACTGTAAATACTTCCTGAAATCTCATGTTGAGCTCCTCACATACTTCCTGGTCATTTCTTGTGAGCTCGCCACCTTCTTTCCTCAGTCTGATTACCTGGTCTTTGACTGTTGTCTTCCTCCTGATGTGGCTGTAGAGTAGTTTCGGGTCAGACTTGACTTTCAATGCTATGTCATTTTCATACTGCCTCTGCGCCTCCCTTCTTATCTGTGTATACTCGTTTCTGGCTCGTCGAATAATCTCTTTATTTTCCTGAGTCCTTTGCCTTCTGTACATTTTCCATTCTCTAGAGCACTTGGTTTTTGCCTCCTTACACCTTCAGGTAAACCAAGGGTTCGTTCTGTCCTTCCCATTATTTCTGTTACCCTTGGGAACAAACCTTTCCTCTGCCTCCTTGCATTTTGTTGTTACAAAGTCCATCATTTTGTTTACTGATTCTCCTACCAACTTCTGTTCCCACTGAACCTCCTACAAGAAGGTCCTCATTCCTGTGTAGTCCCCCCTTCTATAGTTTAGCTTTTCCCTTTCTACTCCTGCTACCCTCTCCACTTTTAGCTCCACGATGTATTCAAAGCTCATAACCACGTGGTCACCAGCTCCATGGGGCCTTTCATATGTGATGTGCTCAAATGTCTGAGCTACTCAGGGTGAACACAAGATCCAGTCTTGCTGGTTCATCCTGCCCTCTCTCTCTGGTAGTGTCCTTAACATGTTGGTGCATGAGATCTGCCAGCACCACATCCATCATCTTGGCTCTCCACGTTTCGGGACCCCCATGTGGCTCTAGGTTTTCCCAATCAATCTCCCTGTGATTGAAGTCGCCCATGACCAGTAACTTCGCTCTACTCGAGTGAGCCCTTCTTGCCACCTCAGCTAGTATGTCCACCATTGCTCTGTTGCACTTATCATATTCATCTCTTGGCATCCTGCAGTTCTGTGGTGGGTTATACATCACTGCAATGACTACCATGTGTTCCCCTGACTGAAATGTACCTACTATGTAATCCCTTTTTCCAGTCTCATCCATTCCTTCCATTTCTTGATAACTCCACCAGTTTTTAATTAGTAGTGCAACCCCTCCTCCCCCTCTGCTCCTTCTATCCTTCCTCAGGATCTGATATCTGGGTGGGAAGATTGCATCTGTTATTATCCCAGTGAGTTTTGTTTCTGTAACCACTACGATGTCTGGGGACATCTTCTTGATTCTTTCATGCCACTCCTCACATTTATTTGTCATTCCATCTGCGTTCGTGTATTAAACCTTCAACTACTTTTTAATAACTGTGGTGTGGGGAGAGAGGTGGGCTAGGGGGAGCAGGTGCTCTGGCAAGGGGCTATAGGGGGTTGCTGTGGGGGTGGGGTCTGTGGTGTGGAGTGTGGGGACAGAGGACCTATGGGGGGTTTCAGTGGGGGTGGTGGTGAGGGGCATGGGGGTTACAGTGGGGTGGGGTTGTGGTGAGGGGGATGGGGGAGAGGGTACATTGTGTGGGTTACTGTGGATTTCAGTGGGGGGTGGGGCTTGAGTTGATGAGGATGTGTGGGTTACTGAGGGTTACTGTGGGGGTGGGTTTTTTGCAGAGGGGGATGTGT